AAATAAATGAATGGAAAAAAAAAATGTAACAAGCGTTGGTCTCACCGTGCGAATATGTAAATAAGCCGTCGCGGGAGAAGTCCGACCAGGAGACGTCGACGTGGAAGGACTCTCTCTCGTTTTCTCGGGTCTGTTCGCCCTGATTCTACTGAAAATCGCATTGAAAGGTGTAATTGTTAGTAATCACGCGTCTCGGCGTACGCGGAGTACGTACTCGACACTCTCACGTATACAAATAAGCTCCGACCTTCTTCGAACATGTGATAACTTTTTCGATGAGAGGAGCGCTGCGACGATAAATGCACACGTTTCGAATCGATTATCGCCTGCCGTTCCAGAGTCAAAACAATCGTATCTGTACCTCAAATCTTTGATCTCTAGGAAATAAATTTTTAGATCAGGATACGGCCTATCGGCGGTTAATTCGCACCTCGTGGAAACTCCAACTTCCGTTGAAGAAATATCCACACGTTTTCAAACCTCGCCGAGTGAGAGTGACCTAATGTAATCTTGAATTTTGGCGATTTAAGGTGAAGTGAAACCCCCCCATCAAATTAGTCGATCCGAATAAAACACTTTTTTTTAAAGGGTATTGGAACAAACTGACCGAAACTTTGACATATGACTCGTGATCATCTAAGAATTGTCCTGACACGTTCAAAATTTGGATTTTTGGAAAAACATTTTAACTTAGCCCAGACCAGAACCAAAATGACGTCGGCTCTCATATTTCGATCAATATACAATTATCGAAGGCTACGATATGAGAAACGAGAGGGTCAGGACAATTTTTCTCTCTGTCAAATCAGAAATGAGTTGAGAGATTTACGGACAGGATCGAGCGACCGCGTCCTGTGCGACTTCCGATGGAGGATGCAGACGGCTAATGCACTTGCCACCTGTTACAACTCTGGGCAGCCGGAGAACCGGCTGAAAAAGTGAAGAACTTCTCACAAAAACTCCAAAACCCTGTATCTCCTCCGAAAAAAATCGCAGCCACTAGCTCGAGAGATCAATTTAAACGGAACAACCTTCCCCATCAAGCTACCGTGGACCGAGTCGAATACCTTATCGACTCGAGTTATTCAAACATGGGTAACTCNTATATATATATATATATGTCCCTTTCATATCATCTTAACAGTTAATTCGACTGCAGGCCATGCAATATGCAAAATACGACGTTCACACCGTGCTGTAATGAGATCCTTTGCAATACTGTATCACATGCCTAGAACGGTCTGGAGGATGTTGCTCCGAAGAACAATTGCAAAATCGTCCAGAAGTGCTCAAAAATCGAAAACAACTTTCTAGAAAACAGTGAGGGAGATACTTTGCACCATGTACAAGGTTCTTTAGTTCTATGAGGGAACGGAAGCACAAAAAGAAACGTTCCTTTGACATGTTAGTTTAACATGGCGATGCAATGTAAGAGGGAATCGATCAACCGAGGTGTAATGTATACTTTTAGATATGAGCGTAGCAAATCCCCAGATAATTCTAAAGCACAGATTTTTGTACGAAAATTAGAAAAGACTGTACGTCTTAGAAACATCAGTATCTGTACAAACTGAATGCCGGCACCTTCTTACACACGATTCAAGCCTGTTGTAACAAAACTGGAAGAGAAAAGGAAAAGTTAGGCACCAAGTATACTCAGACATGATAAAATTATACATTTTTAAAATATATTCTGGGTGACTGCTCAGTCAAGATTTATATAATATTTAAACGAATTCTAAAGGAACATTTACATGTTTAGTACAACCACAATTTAGCAATAGAGTTCAGACTTTTGAAAAGCTGGGTTTTAATGACTTTAAGAGTATGATTATAAGGATTTGCATCATTTGAATTTAGCAACGTAGTTGTAACATGTAAGTGCGATATGCCCTCTATTCCTAATTTATGATCGATTAAAACTTTGTGTAGGAATTAAATTTACAACAAAAATTATCGATAATTTTTCAGAAAAATCGCAACTTCAAAAAATATATTTTCACAATAAAATTGCAATAAGCATTGCATTAATTGGCATTAATATTATTGCTAAAGTATTATGATTTTCTTAAGATGATTGGATACATGGTATTTGGAGTTAAAAAGAAGAGTTAAGAATGAGGAGTTATTCAGAAAGCAACTGCACTCACAAATCTGTCCAACTGCATTAAATTTTACCATTGCATTTTTTTTAAACATTAGGTAATTACTGTACATAAATAAACCACAATGAAGATGCAACTGTATTTTTAAGCAGCATATGCCGACTGTGATAGAAAATATTTCAGTCTTAATATCTGTGCGTGGCCTTACATTGACTACTTGCCTAAATGAATTGTACACATGTCGATTATAAATAATACACTTCTTTATTTTTAATCTGAAGCTTCACTTTCCTACAATTTTGAAATGTTTATAATAAAGAAGATATAGTAAATTCTGTGGAATGATTCATTTTTACCATTACCTCAGAAACGTTCAAAGCTAGTTTATAATACCTATTGCATCTGTCTGTACAATTTGTTTCAAATAGAATCTGTATTTTGTGCTATTAGCTAAAGGTATAACTTCTTTTAAATTAATCAAGTCTCGATATACCAAACATTTAATATCTTAGCGATTGTTTGTAATAAGCTGAGTCAATATGTACATATGCATGAAATAAAAATCATAGAATATTTCGACATAAATTAAAAATAATTTTATTTCTCCAGTGGGGCATAATTGAGCAGCTTTTCGATCAAATCCACATGGCCCAGCAGCATTCTGCGGCAGCAGTATCTCTTCAATCCCAAAGCATCAAGAGCATCACTGTAAGACGTATAACCTTACTTTTATTTTCCTACAAATATCTTCAATAACAATCCAGTAATACAAACGAACAATTAGAATCGTTAAGACGCCCTAAGTACATCATTTAAAATATAACAATATATGCTCTTGAACATCATAAGTTCAACACATAAAGTGAAGACTGAGGTTAACGTACCCTTCCGTGTATTCAGCCTGTAATAAGCCCAAATAAGCTTCCCATTTATTTCCGATCACTTTCCCGCAAGTGAAGCAACGAACGGGAATGATCATTTTGATCCTCTTTCGTATTCCAAGCTATTTATTGAAACAAACGGCGAAAATCAAGAAGAATACTTGCATTAAACTGCGTTCAACCGCCGAAGATACAACTCCTAACCTCTCAAAAGATTAACCTATCCTCTTCAACTTGTGACGTTTCCAGCAGAGATGAGTTGGGAGATTGCTTACAGGCAGAGTTGCGCGGTCGTATCCTGTGCTGCCCTCTGGTTTCGTACGTTAGCTTACACTATTCACATTCATATTTACATTTACTATAATTAGAAATTCAACAATATAATTTTCTTATCATGTCATGTAAGCATGAATTATTTAACAGTTTTCAATGTTTAATAATGTACTATAACCTCGCAATAAAACAAACATTAATCTGAACATCCTAGTAAATTCTCTTTCTTCTCACGAAAATGGGTCTGAGGCATCACGTAATTCATTTCTTCTTCTAATAAGGTTATTATTACATCCCCGAATACGATTGTTGCCAAAAATCAAAACATCCAAGAGGTTTTCCATTTTGAATTTTGATGTCACAATCTGTAGAAGATGGCGTTCACGGCGCTTATTTTTCTATCTTTTCTTGTACGCTTCACTATTTCGCATAAAAATTTGTGTCGAGCCAGTTCACATGAATGGTCTCGCATTTTCAACACCAAAAACGTTCCGTAATACCGTCAGCTACTCATTCTTCACATTTTCGCTCAATTTGCTTTACGTAATAGACCCCCTGGTTTCCGGTTATGAGGCAACCGTAGCGTTACGATTGATGCTTCGAGGAGTAATTCTGAGGTGCGGTAGAACTGAAACAACCAATAAGGTGGCTCTCTTATTGGAAACGACATTTGAATAATCGTCCTTTGAGAAGCGGTCTAACGGAAAGTAGAGAGGGCTCCGTGAGGTCATCCTTTTCGTGCGCGTGGACGTCGCACGTGACTTTAGTCGAGGCAGACAGGTTCCCGAAAGCCAAGTTAATCCCCGTGTCAAAAATTGTAGGTTTTCGTATATTTTTCTCCCCCTCGTGAACTACGTCCCAATTAAAAGTACTTGTATGCCTCGTCAAACCATAGGCCAGGGTGTAGCGTTAACATGATCAAATTATTTTCGTTGAAACAAGCGAAAAAAGATGGCGAATCTCCCAAGGCTGGAACCCAGAAAAAGGCCTCTGCAGCACAGCTGAGAATTACGAAAGGTGCCTCCCACCAGCCGTTTGCCATTATTCTCAGGCAAATGCCTGAGAGAATCCCTTCGAAAATCTCTCTACGAATTTTTTTCCCTTTCAGACATCAATGAGCTGAACCTTCCGAAGACATGTGGCACAGAGTTTCCAGATCCTGATGATCTGCTGAGTTTTAAGTTAATTATCTGCCCTGATGAAGTGAGTGTTGAGACCTCATAACCTTCGATCGACCGAGACTATCTTCTATACCGAATACTTTGCATTTCCGATGCGCGTACAATAGACGGCAAAGATTATAAGTGGTTTCATTATTTTGCTTTGCAGGGGTTTTATAGGGGTGGAAGGTTCGTATTTAGTTTTAAAGTCGGCCCAAACTATCCACACGAACCGCCGAAAGTGAAATGCGAAACCCAGGTGTATCACCCAAATATCGACTTGGAGGGCAACGTCTGTCTTAATATCTTAAGGGAAGATTGGAAGCCAGTTCTCACAATTAACTCCATCGTCTATGGACTACAGTATCTGTTTCTGGTATTTATCCAAGAAGTATTCATGTTTCTCTATAGATAAGTGAATTTATTATATTTTTAATGCGATACCAATCATGCCGTATCGATTTCACATTTCCGATGCTTCTTCTAACATCACCCACGATTTGCTTACCTTTAAGTAACGCACATGGGTACCTCGACAATGTCTCACGTTATAACTTCAAATCACTCTAAACGTCGTAATAACATTTTCAATCTGCATTCCATAGGAACCGAATCCAGAGGACCCCTTAAACAAGGAAGCGGCAGGTGTCTTGCAGAACAACAGAAGAGCATTCGAACAGAACGTAGCAAAAGCAATGAGGGGAGGTTACGTCGGTTCGTGTTACTTCGACCGATGTCTCAAGTGATATACTGCCGACCCACCGATGTGGAGATTCACACTCAGAGGAGACATCCTGAAAGACTGGACGGCCGAAGGTCGACGTGGCGTCCTTGCCGACGCCTGCGTGTCGGCTTTATACATATTAACGTTCATTACGTCTTGCCAGGCCTCCAAACATTTAATCCACCAAGTATTTTATGCTTTGGGCTAATAAACCTACTGAAATGTTCGCGCATAGTTCACTGACCGCGGGGGAAGGAACGAGGAGTTTCGCTGCTGGCCGTGGCCTTAATATTACTAATCGGTAGCGACGAGACAACTCGGTCTCTAGATCACTCGAGACTTCGATTGCTATCGTCGAGCAGCGATTTGCGATCGCACGGATTAATCGCGCAAGTTTTTATTACTCGAGCTTCGGAGGTACTATTACTCTCTCGTGACCGAACGCCATTATACGGCGGCTGGCGCGGTCGAGGATGTAATTAGAGACACCCGGGACATCGTTTTACTCGCCGATCGTTGTACGACGTTCTCTCCCGAACAAAGCGCACGCGAAGACCTCGATCCGACACCTTGCGTTCAGTAAGACCCGATAGGTCCTCCAAGGACCGAGATTTCTGTTCTGGCCTGGCGTAAATGAGACTAGTAATAAGGGAAATTTAATTTAACTACGGTTACGAGCGTCCCTTGGTTTCACTTTCTCGCGAACACTTCCTTTCAGATAGTACGTCAAATCTAGCGATGCGACGAGTCGAATACTTTACCAACTCGAATTACTCGAATTCGCAAACATTGCCAACTCGAGTTTGGACTCGATTCCGCATACATTCGTCGCGATGAGTCGAGTCAATGACGAGTTGGCGAGTAAAACGATTCGAGACGAAGCGATATAACGAATCTAGTATTTTATCGACTCGAATTATTCGGATATTGCCAACAGAAGTCGAGGACGCGATTCCGCATACATTCAACGCGGCGAGTAGAGTCTATGGCGAGTTGTAGAGTAAAATGACTTGAGTCGAAGCGATGTAACGAGTCGAGTACCTCATCGACTCGAGTCGAATACCTTATCGACTCGAGTTATTCAAACATGGGTAACTCGAGTTGACTCGATTCCACATACATTCGTCGCGATGAGTAGTCTATGGCGAGTTGTAGAGTAAAGTGACTCGAGTCGAAGCGATGTAACGAGTCGAGTACCTCATCGACTCGAGTTACTCAAACATGGGTAACTCGAGGACTCGATTCCACATACATTCGTCGCGATGAGTAGTCTGTGGCGAGTTGTAGAGTAAAACGACTCGAGTCGAAGCGATATAACGAGTCGAGTACCTCATCGACTCGAGTCGAAGCGATGTAACGTGTCGAGTACCTCATCTACTCGAGTTACTCAAACATGGCCAACTCGAATTGACTCGATTCCGCGTACATTCGTCGCAATGAGTCGAGTACAATGACGAGTTGGCGAGTAAAACGACTCGAGTCGTAGCGATATAACAAATGTAGTATTTTATCGACTCGAGTTATTCGGATGTTGCCAACAGAAGTCGAGGACGCGATTCCGCATACATCCAACGCGACGATTAGAGTCAGTGGGGAGTTGGCGAGTTAAACTAGTCGAATAACAACTACTAGAATAAACAAATAAGACGCGATTGGTATCTCGGTCTCCCTCTAACCCTCCTAACTCGCATTCGTTTGCACCAATAACTCGAGTTACAATAAAAGTGAACTCGAGTCGACCCGAGTTTAACGAGTTAAAATACTCGACTCGTCGCATCACTAGTCGAATCGTTACTTGATATATGCACTTGGCGCGAGGTGTCTGCCCGAACCTCCGGGCAGTAGGGTAAGGCCCTTTGTAAACGTCCCGGCAAAACCGGCGCCGCGTCAATTTTTTATGCCAAAAACAATGTAACCTTCATTTATTTACATTTTTACCATCGAAAAACGAACCGGCGCCGGTTTTGCCGGTCGTGGGCAAACGGCGTTACGGTCGCTACTTAGCACGAATATCTCGGGAGATGTGTTACTGCGGTGTAATTATCGAGAGGCGTTTGTCCCATTAGAAAAGAACCGATTAAGAGTATGTAAATCGTCGAGAGAGAGAGAGGTGTGACTAAATTACGTGTTTCTTATCATTCAGTTGGGCGCGCGCTCGAGTTTCCGGAGTCGAGAGCCTCGACGCAGTTTATTTCCGTTTAGGCGAAGACCAAGAACGCGGTCTTTGAATTAGTTCAGCAACACACAAAAGCATAACGACAACCACATTCGACTAAACCAAAATGAACCGTCTCGGTGTCTCGACGAGGAGTCAGTTTTTCGACCATCGGGTGCGCCATGTCTTGTCATAAACATTGCTCAGGGCGCAACGGAAAGAAAGCACGAGGTTTTATCGCGACGATTCTTCGAAATTTGTAAATTTGCCCTGCCCCGCACTTCTCGAGGTTCCTTTTCCTTTTCTTTTCTTCTTCTTATTTCCCTAACGCGCGTTACATCGCATACTTTTACACCTTTTAGGAACTCATACGTCCTGTCTCTTTCCTAGGGCAATGTTTCTCTCAAGACGGAATTCTCGTACCGATTAATCAGCTGCACTTCACTAATACTTCCTTTCTGTACATCGGTTTTGCGCAGAGCTTCGAGATTGTCCGATTTAGGCTTTAGATATAATGATA